AATAAAGTTACTAATTCTTGCTCATTAAAAGAATTCAAATCCTTAATTAATCGTTCTGATACAATTATTAATAATTTTGACCTAAAATACGGTCATAGATCATGCCAAATTGTCCACTGCCGCCTTAGGCTCGGCTGCAGTGACATAACGCTGATAAGTTTAGACGACATGTATCAGACATATCAGACTGCACTTGTGGGTATCACTTTGAAGACGCAATTCACTTTTTCTATACCTGTCAAAAATACCATAATATCAGAAACACTATGTACTTCTACACACATGGGTATGATTTAAAAACGGTATTACATGGCAATAGTTCAGTTAGCAGTTCTACATACATGACTATTCTTAAATCAGTTCACGATTTCATTGTCAAAAGCAAAAGATTCGAGTAACTTAATTTTATGCATGTAGTAATGGAAAACTGCTATATCTTATTTCACAGACACCACTTGTATTGGCTTCATATATTTCATTTGTGCATTTAGTATGTTTATGTTTAGCACTATTTTACATATAATCTGATATATAACCAGCTGTTGTAAAGTTATTACCTGGAGAGGTATTTACATATTTAAGCAAGTTTTGCTTGTTTACCGATCCAGATTTCTTTTGAAATAAAAATATGTTTAAACCATTACAGCAACGTTGCAATAATTATTGCACAGGCACGTTACACCAACGTTGCAACAACTTTACTACAATTATCACACAGACACAACTACGTTACAATTATTTCATGGACACATTACGGAAACGTTGCAATAGTTATTACAGAGACACATTATAGCAAAATGACAGCAACAACATGCATTTCGGCAACATTTCAGGTAGCTGTAGCTATATGTATACCGTGGAGACATTTAAAGATTAATCGCACCAAGTCACTTTCCTCAGATGTATCACAGCACCATCATAGTGCCCTACAAGGTGTGTAGCGCTGTGTCACTTTGTGGAAGAGTGCACAGGCCGACAGCGCGAACAACTGTCAATCCCATGGCAAGAATGTACATCTCACCATTGATATTCTGAGGGGGTCAACCATTCGCGCGGGCTTGAGACGGACCACTTGATATAGATGGAGTGTTAACTTTAATTGATACTAGTAATGATATACGGTAGAGTGACTGATATGATGTATTGTTACATTGTTACATTGGTTGAAATCCAAAACCATTGCACTCGTGTTTTGCCATCGTAGTTAACATGACGATGCATTTGGTATGAGGTGGTCACTCGTGTTACTCTTATCTCAGGCGGCCTTGAAGTTAGCATTAATATTTGTATACCTTGTTCAAACATGCCCAGAGGTCCGACCACTGCTTAGCAGCAGCTTGACCCTCGTGTGTTTCACACGCCACACCCGGGAGCTCATATAATGAGCACCGTTCGAGAATACACAGATGTTTTGTTGTTGTTGTTGTTGTTGTTACTATTATTATTATTATTATTATTATTACTATTATTATTATTATTATTATTATTATTATTATTATTATTATTTGTTGTTGTTGTTGTGGCAGAACACCCGATTCATTTATATTACTGTCCATAATGTGTCAGTTTAACAACAGTAATAGGAAAGTGTCGGATGTTTTAACTTCTTTTGAGTATTATGTTTTATCTGACACAGGCATATACCTCATTGCCGTGTTACTCAATTCTAAATCGACATATTATAACACACCGCTTTTAAATTAACCCATTACTCAAGAAGTTGATCCATTCCAGTGGTTGTCCTAAGAATTATCCAATAAAGTTCAGGAAAGAAGTCCTAAACCGGTTATGGGAACGACAGAGGAGCAGAAGACAAAGACGAGAACCTCCACGACTGTCCCAGCAACTTGACATAAGACGAACTAAAACCTGGGTCAGAGGGTTACCCGAGCAGTAGGCAATCAATGTACATTTCAACCTATCAATCAAACCAAATCCATTTAATTTCAAGTTTCAACACCTTTGCGCTCTTCGTTTTAATCCTTGCACACTACCCCCAGTTCGTTATGCAATAAGCTAATTGTTTGAGTGAATAGATGCTTCTCTTTCGCTTGACCGCTAACTGTTATTTTAAAGGATTTGAGTATTTGTTATCGACACAAAGGATGACCGATAGTCGTAAACTCATTCCGGTTAGAAGATGTGGATTTCAGGGTCATTGACCGCGAGAATTTGGGTCACTGGGACAAGCTTGGACTCGATATTGTTATCGGGTGTTTGAATATTTTTCACAGAACCCCACAAGTCTAATAGTATATGTGCTAAAACACACTGGTGATATTTATGCATATATTTGTATTAATAACAATTAATTTGTATTAATTATATCAAAATATCATAATGTCTTCAATAATAATTTTAGTCAACAGCCTAGATGCCCCAATTTGAAATTGGTTCAGTTTTCTTCTTATATCTGGTTCATGTGCAAGTTGTCAATGCGAGTTGTTCCAAGGGAAGAGAGCCAATGCCCTATACGGGTTGGTGAAATCATGGTTGAAACTTTATACACTGGTGAGACTGCGGCATATACTGTCGAGATCGCTTTCACACTCGAACAATCCTTACATAATCTTGAACAAGAATACCAACACCAATTCAATGGCACCACGGCTAATGTTTGTGTTGATCGTTGTCTTAGATCAATACTTGTGTTGTCTGTAGGCTCAAGACACAAACAAATGACAACCTCGCTGAGTACCGATGACTCCACGTATAACGGTCAATCTGGTGTTGTTAACTTGTTATTTGAAGAGCTTAAGCTTCCAATTTCTAGATCCAACTTAGGGCGCGGACCAGTTAATGGTGGCGGTGTTGGCGTGTGCGGGAGTGGGTCTGCGGTGGGGTGATGGTAATGTGTTCTGGGGAGAGTTTGATGACCCTCCACAAGAATGTAATATCACCCAGGTTGTGTGGTGTTGATTCATACACTCACACATCACAATTTCAACAGCAACATAAATGTCCGCCTCTGCATTACCTTCATGTTTTATGTGTTTTACAACCCATGATTCATCGGGGTCGCATTCATTCCCGTTTCATTCCCGTTTAATGATCCTTGGGTTGTCCTACCCCACACACTCATGGTATCAGAGAATGTGGATTGCGCAGATTCGCCCCCTGTGAACGTTCAGTCGTGGCTAGTATTTAGTGAGTGACTTGGGTTTAACGCCGCTTTGAACAACACTTTAGTTATATCGTGGCATTTCAGCTAAATGTGGGATGTGATGCAAGTCTCAGACGTTTACCACTTTGATGAAACCCACAAGCAAACCTACAAACATACGCGGGAGAACCTATCATTATTAGGGTTCTTCTTCCGAAATATCTACTGCGCAGGCGCAAACACACGATGTTCCAGCCAGTATCAGTGTCACTAACCATTGCAGCAGTGCTTACATGAGACACAATCTCTATATGTACTCCTAAGGGAGCTGAGAATGCAGTACCAATGCGCTCTGATTCATTCGTTAAACGGGTGCATCATGTCCTCTATATTTACCAAGTCCCTCGGTGTTGTGCTATTTAATGTCCTGTGTTTTACAGTGGCTCCATACATTATCATTTGTAATAATTATTTCATAAACCCTAGTCGACGTGATAGTTCACATTGACTGATAACGCAATGTATAAAATTACACGAATATTTATATATCCTCCCAGCATTTCTCCACCCAGCTTCAGGTCACGCTGGTATAGACCTGTTAATTTACTAGATATATCGAGCTTCTCTGGTAGCTATTTCTGGAATGCATCTGTCGTTCAGCTGACTGTATAACTATTTTTGTCTTGACAGAAGCTCATTCCTCTTTTTTCAAGATCAATGTCGTCATACTACCATGGGAAGCACGGCCCCCGAATCCGACAATGGTGAATTGGCGTGAAGAGGCTGACTTTAATTGCCACGTGATCATATTGCATTTATTCTGAGATATTCTGGTTTCCGTGTTTTTTTGGAATTGCGTAATGTTTCTCTAAACGTGTTGACATCGCCACGTGAATCTTTAAGCGGAATGTTTTATATGAGGTGTCGTGCATGGTAATAGTTCAATGTGTAAAGTGTGGTTAAATTCAATCAGCTCAGCTTCTTGCCCTGTGTTGTCACACATTGACGTGAACACGTACACACAAATGACACATAACCGCATACTTACAGGCACATACACATGCACAGAGGACTTACACGCCACCTCACCGCCTCCCCCCCCCCCCCCCCCCCCCCCCCCCCCACACACACACACACACAAAGGACACATAACTGCGCGCACACTGGACATATACACGCACACACACAGTCACACACGCACACATAGGACACGCACACAGACCAATACACGGTTTATCAAACAGTCACAGACACAGACCAATACACGGTTTATCAAACAGTCACAGACACAGACCAATGCAAGGTTTATCAAACAGTCACGGACACAGACCAATGCAAGGTTTATCAAACAGTCACAGACACAGACCAATACAAGGTTCATCAAACAGTCACGGACACAGACCAATGCAAGGTTTATCAAACAGTCACGGACATAGACCAATGCAAGGTTTATCAAACAGTCACGGACACAGACCAATACAAGGTTTATCAAACAGTCACGGACACAGACCAATACAAGGTTCATCAAACAGTCACAGACCAATACACGGTTTATCAAACAGTCACAGACACAGACCAATACACGGTTTATCAAACAGTCACGGACACAGACCAATGCAAGGTTTATCAAACAGTCACAGGACACAGACCAATACAAGGTTCATCAAACAGTGACAGACCAATACACGGTTTATCAAACAGTCACAGACACAGACCAATACACGGTTTATCAAACAGTCACGGACACAGACCAATGCAAGGTTTATCAAACAGTCACAGACACAGACCAATGCAAGGTTTATCAAACAGTCACAGACACAGACCAATGCAAGGTTTATCAAACAGTCACGGACACAGACCAATGCAAGGTTTATCAAACAGTCACGGACACAGACCAATGCAAGGTTTATCAAACAGTCACGGACACAGACCAATACAAGGTTTATCAAACAGTCACAGGACACAGACCAATGCAAGGTTTATCAAACAGTCACGGACACAGACCAATGCAAGGTTTATCAAACAGTCACGGACACAGACCAATGCAAGGTTTATCAAACAGTCACAGACACAGACCAATACACGGTTTATCAAACAGTCACGGACACAGACCAATGCAAGGTTTATCAAACAGTCACAGACACAGACCAATGCAAGGTTTATCAAACAGTCACAGACACAGACCAATGCAAGGTTTATCAAACAGTCACGGACACAGACCAATGCAAGGTTTATCAAACAGTCACGGACACAGACCAATGCAAGGTTTATCAAACAGTCACGGACACAGACCAATACAAGGTTCATCAAACAGTCACGGACACAGACCAATGCAAGGTTTATCAAACAGTCACGGACACAGACCAATTCAAGGTTTATCAAACAGTCACGGACACAGACCAATGCAAGGTTTATCAAACAGTCACGGACACAGACCAATACAAGGTTTATCAAACAGTCACGGACACAGACCAATGCAAGGTTTATCAAACAGTCACGGACACAGACCAATACAAGGTTTATCAAACAGTCACGGACACAGACCAATACAAGGTTCATCAAACAGTCACAGACCAATACACGGTTTATCAAACAGTCACAGACACAGACCAATACACGGTTTATCAAACAGTCACGGACACAGACCAATGCAAGGTTTATCAAACAGTCACAGGACACAGACCAATACAAGGTTCATCAAACAGTGACAGACCAATACACGGTTTATCAAACAGTCACAGACACAGACCAATACACGGTTTATCAAACAGTCACGGACACAGACCAATGCAAGGTTTATCAAACAGTCACAGACACAGACCAATGCAAGGTTTATCAAACAGTCACAGACACAGACCAATGCAAGGTTTATCAAACAGTCACAGACACAGACCAATGCAAGGTTTATCAAACAGTCACGGACACAGACCAATGCAAGGTTTATCAAACAGTCACGGACACAGACCAATGCAAGGTTTATCAAACAGTCACGGACACAGACCAATGCAAGGTTTATCAAACAGTCACAGACCAATACACGGTTTATCAAACAGTCACAGACACAGACCAATGCAAGGTTTATCAAACAGTCACGGACACAGACCAATGCAAGGTTTATCAAACAGTCACGGACACAGACCAATACACGGTTTATCAAACAGTCACAGACACAGACCAATGCAAGGTTTATCAAACAGTCACGGACACAGACCAATGCAAGGTTTATCAAACAGTCACAGACCAATACACGGTTTATCAAACAGTCACAGACACAGACCAATGCAAGGTTTATCAAACAGTCACAGGACACAGACCAATACAAGGTTCATCAAACAGTCACAGACCAATACACGGTTTATCAAACAGTCACGGACACAGACCAATGCAAGGTTTATCAAACAGTCATAGGACACAGACCAATACAAGGTTCATCAAACAGTCACAGACCAATACACGGTTTATCAAACAGTCACATACACAGACCAATACAAGGTTTATCAAACAGTCACGAGCAGATAGATCGGGACACAAATACACCGACTCAAACACAACACGTCCCCACAGAAAACAAGCATCGAGTTATTGTTAAAGGTAGCTTCGCAGGTATGTTGAAATCTGCTTGAACATATCAATGAAAACTGTGTGGTCACCATCTGTATTACATAACTATTACATTGTAACATGCCGAAATATGGAGGAAATAACAACGACCTATAGCTATTTTAGACGACCATGTCTCACAGGCAAGTAAACTAACCTGTTCCCAGCTGTTTAACATATTGGATGTCTGGCACACTTTTCAGTATTAATATTCAATTGCTGAAATATTTTAATTCACGTAGACTGGGAAACGACAACATTCACATTGACATTATTTGAATATTCAAGCCATCATACAGCTAAAGGAATACATACTTTGGAGCCGTAAAAGACATTTTTAATAGACTGAGCGTTAAACCAAATCTGTTGACATTTTTTGTTATCTTTAACAGAGCTCGAATGGTTTTTTTCTCGGAATGCTGGACGCGATATGGCGGTACCATCAATACCAGATCAATTTCCAAAAGTATAAAAAAAAACACCAAAATGCCGTCTTGGTCAAGAACCTCCGCATTGACACAATACCCATAAACCGTCAGCATAGATCCCACAACCACCCACAACCCTTCCCTCAAGGATCAGTGTGATACCACCCTCACTCCCAACACTCCCAACTCTCCAAACACTCTGCCAGCGGCAAAAAGCTGGGCACGTTGTCTCCAAATAGAAGCTTTATTTTACAAGAACTAATTAGCATCGCCATATTCTGCTAAGCATCAGATACAAAATTCCCTCTGTTGCGTAAGTCACACGTTCAATAGATGTTGTATTATATCCATTCTAGCTCTTTTGAAATATATTTATTTTGCTTGTGCCCAACCCTGTGGCTTCCAATCTCTCATGAGGTCGAATTGCATGCGTGGGGTTACGTTTAGCGCTGCGTTAGATGTAACCACAATATTCATATCGAATCAACAAGATGATTATACCACAGTTTTATCAAATCTGTAATTTCTGTCAAAAAATATGACGAAGGGAATGCATTCCGCTTTCTTTTCTCGTGCCTTGAATTTCAATCAGAAAGACGCAAATATATATCACCGTACCATCACATTTAACAGAAAATCAAGTATGCTTAAATGTGTAACTGATTCAGCTCTTTTAGAGTCGGAAGGTTTAGATAGATGTGAATGAGCATTTAAATTCTGAGTAATTATAAATCCTGCTCAACCCTTTAGTACTTAATGCATGTTACTACTTATATCTGCGTCCTGCTAAAAAACAATATAGTAAATATGTGACCGTTAACATCTATGCATGAGTGAATACTATGCAGATATTTATAAGAGAGCCTGGTGGTTAAAGTGTTCGCTCGTCACGCCGAAGGTCCGAATTTGTTTCCCTACATGGATACAATGTGTGAAGCCCATTTCTGGTGTCCCCGTCTTGATATTGCAGAAATATTGCTAACAGCGGCGTAAAACCATACTCACCCACATAACTATACGATTTATATGCTTATACCGATGATAGGGGTCTGCATAATGTTTGTTCTGTTCTTAATCTCCATTCCTCTGTATATGTATACGTTAGCTACAAGTAAACTAATTGGCAAGTCGTCGATACATCGCTGGAAATGTCCACAGTAGGGTATTGTGAACGCTGCCATCTTGACTGTGTCAAGTAAACACCCTAGACAACAACGGCCTTGATGTCACTCATAACCACTGCCGGCGGCACCAACATTCTCTTGACAACATTCAGGCTGCAGCAGTTTCCGTCGGTGATTGCAGGGCTGAGGAGAAGGATGCATTGCTGTGGAGGTTTTTAAACGTTTTTTCACTTTTCTTTACAAACTCAAGGACACCGCCATTGCATGTTTGTTGTATCTCATACCAAATCGGGATTGAAAGACGCCTGGTTATATATATATATATATGTCTAATGCAACCGAAGACAAAACAAGATTCATTTTATAAGGGAAAGGTGATAGTTCACGGTTACAGAAAGTAATGCGTCCGAATAAATATTTATGGAATACACATTAACTGTTCCTACACAGATGTAAGAAGGTGCACGTATGTACAATATATACATGCACACACACGCTCACTATGTCAAACACTAGATTGTTTACAGACCGTCGTCATATAATGGATCTTTGCGGCGTAAAACAACAGACAAACACAAACATGAGGTCGTTGATGCTTACCACTTTGATGAAACCCGCGAACACGTGTAGAAGTTTCATACTTTGTTTAATCATTTCATGTAACTAATGTCGAAGGCGTTCAGTTGTTGATACATCACATCCGACATTGTGGCTGAGGATGATTTTAATGTATAAAATATATTTCCGTCCCCTCCTGCGAACGATAGATATTGCAACGTTGCTACAAGTACGTGAACTTTACCCAGTTGCAGTCAATGTTGCCATCAAGGTCAGGTAGGTTGGGGCTGGGTTGTATCAGACGGTCGTGTGACACGGTACACGTGTACAGCGGTCCGGTTTAGTGTACTCAAGATGATGGCCACACACAAATCATCGATTCACTGATCGCGTGACAGTTTGCTTGGATGGCATGGTTCGACCAAGTTCATACATTTACAATTTGTCGATTCCACTTTCGAGAAATAGTGCTCCTGTCTGAATATACTTGGATGACAAACATCCTAGTGGTGACAAGATATACTTATTAGAAAGAATCCGATGAAGTAAATACTTCCATATATTTAAAAGGGTGAAGAATTTGTGTGATAACACCGAAAATAAAAAGATTGCAGGATTGTGTTACATGTTCTAGTTACATGTAATCATATGATGAAGTTTTTCTTCAAAGAAACATTGTTCGTGTCAAAGACTTCAAACTGAAAAAGGCCTGTAGCACATCATACATACCTCCTATTCAGAGGATTTGTCAACATTTCACATCCCAAGAAAATCATTATTTATTTACTTTACTGTAATAAACAAGGAAAATATACATTCCAAAATATCCACAGTGAGAGTGTTCAATGTATAAACTGTCTCAATTATTGCAATTCAAAATTGTACATGTCCCCAATTATGCACACCTTAATACCAGAAACATTCAGAGCGCGTCACAAACAAGACAGTCTGGCTGGGCTCCATCACATCGATTGTCTCACAGAAGCTGCCAGGCACGTGTTGGCTGGACTTGTGATGACCCGTTAAGTTCAGCGTTATCGGGGAGGATGCTCGTCTGCTGCAGCAGCTAGTCACATGCCCACAAAACCGTGATGTGACGGTGCCGTATTTCCCTTGACACGTATCTGGCCTTGGAGTAGGCCAAGATGTTAAAGGCATCCCAAGAATAGATGTTCTGTGAATTCATTCCCCGTGAGTGGATTGTTATTTAAGTTGACATTTCTGAATATGCGCTCTTTGTTTGTTTCCAAGCTTTTCGCGAAGTACAAGCGTGCGCTAATGGTTCGAGTCATTGTCACTTGTAGGTCGGCTTTTGTTTTTTGCGTTAGGGATTGTACAGGCCGCATATCAGAGAGCTGGAAATGTCATTTGAATTCACACTGGTCCGTTGATCAGTAGTAATAATAATAGTAGTAGTAGTAGCATAGTAATAGCAGCAGTAGTGGCAGCAGTAGCAGCAGCGGTAGTAGCAGTAGCAGTAGTAGTTGTTGCTTGTTTCTTTGTTATTTTTGGGGCAGGGGTGGCCCGGTCAACGGAGATGTTGAATTGCGTCCTTGGAAATACATACCTCAGGGTATGTCAGCGCCATAACAGTACTCGTCGGTCTCACCCCATGCCCCTGACGCAGGATAGTAATGTTACATATATATACTGAGCCGCAAAAGAAACGTCACCATGGATAGATATATGAGAAACCTTATTTGGCCAAACACTGTAAACATACTTTGACGACATATTAAAAAGATGAAACTTGGCAAAACTGATCATCAAGGTTGAACTTAAAGTGTCAAATGTTTTTAAAGTGAAACACAACACAAGTCTCTGAGAAAATGGCATCACAGGTCAGTATCTCGAGTGTCAGCCATGTGCATTGATGACTGCTGTGCAACGTCGATACGTGGAATGGATGAGGCGGTCGATGAAGGCCATAGGCACTTGAGCCCACACTCTGAGGAACGCCTGAGGCAGTTCAGCTGCAGTTGTCGGCCTTGGTCGAACGTCATTCAGCCGTCTTTGAATCTCGTCCCACAGGTGCTCAATGAGATTTAAATCGGGACTGAGGGCAGGCCACTGAATAGTCCTGATGCCATTCTGCTGGAGGAAGTCTCTTGGTGCTCTTGCAGTGTGGGCACGGGCGTTATCATGCTGAAACTTGTAGTTACGACGTGTGGTCTCAAGACTTGATCAATATACCGAGCTGCTTTGACACTATTGCCTCTCCCTGGACCGATGTTCTGGAAGACCACAGGGCCGACCCTCTGTGCAAGACCAATTCCACCCCACACCATGATGCTCGGACCAACCCATGAGTCTCTCTCAACAACACAAGCATCAGAATAACGTTCCCCACTGCGTCGCCGGACTCTCTCTCTCCCTGCCATTTGCTGTTGAGATACAGTAACGGCTCTCGTCTGAGAAGAGGACTCTTCTCCACTGCTAGTGGCGCCAATGCTGGTGCTGTGTTGCCCACTGAAGACGGTCCCGGCGATGACGTGGTGTCAGAATGGGTCCTCGGTGTGTTCTGTGACGCACGGTGTCCGCACTAATGTGTCGCTGGTGTGTCCCGATGGTCTGTCGAGCAGTTTCCGCAGCAGTAACAAAGCGATCTTGAAGATGCTGTCGCACAATCTGACAATCTTGACGTCGGGTGGTGCCCTTGGTCTTCCACTACGTAGTCGGTCACCTGTAGTGTTGGCTGTCTGGTACCGTTGCTGGAGCCTGTATATGGTCCTTACGTGGACTTGAAATGCATTGGCTACTTGCCGCGCGGTTTATCCAGCTTGCGATCGTCCAAGGGCTTGGTGTCGCTGATTTCTTGTCAATCCTGGCATGTGGCTGCAATTCAATAACGAATGATTGTTATCCGATCTGGGAGGATTTCTATAGGGCAAGAAATAGGGGAACGCATGAGCATTTCAATTTGCACGGAACTCACGTGCATCGGGTTACCATGGCCGTTGCCGTGATGCGTTTGGGCGATTGGTTTTATTGTCATCTGCTTTATTTTTTATCATCAAATTTAATTTTTCCGGACAGAGTAATGTTAAATTTTAGAAACTTTGACAAAAATTACCCAGATATTTAAAGGACAACTTTTCATGCATGTTACTTGGGGTGACGTTTCTTTTACGGATCAGTATATAACAGACAAGGTACGTCACTTTGCCATCTTGGCCGAATCGGTTGTATCGTTAAAATGAAATGGAAATGTATGCATGTTATGTTCACAATACCTCCCCACCTCCCTCCACATACGCACTGCATGCCGCAAACCTTCATTTTTTGCAATTTAATACCTTTTTCGGTCAATTTTATCTTAATATTGGCTCAGTGGCGGCTGTCGGTCACGGAAGTAAACAAATATATCCGCGCTCGATGGCGTCGAGCGCTCTGATTGGTTAATATCCCCGTGTGCGTTTGTTATGGTTAGAGCGTGGACCAATCGCTGCACTCGACGCTATTTGAGTTTAGCAGCAAAGACAGAGAGCATTACTTTATTTTCGCCCTGACAGGAATGGGGATTGGCTTGTCGGCACTATACTTAAGTGGTAATCGGCAATGCATCACGTCAGGCTTTACGGCACGTTATACACGCTCGTGTTCAGTGAGGACAATAGACAGTAACAAGGGTTCTTTATTCCGGAGATTATTTAGTAAACCCAGACGAATTGGCTCGGACCAATTAACACTTTACGTTGGAATTGGCTTCATTTAGTGCCAGGGTCGTGTGCCTAATTCGTTAGCTCAGAATGTCAAACAACGTTACATCGACTTCAGGTCAACGTCATGCAAAGTTGCACGTGACTTCATGAAGATCAACTTCTCTGAAACAATACATTATTGCGCTGACTCACATCCATTCACGTCAATATTTGTTCATGTCCGTTGGATCCCTGTATAAAAATGATGGTATATTTTTTTATGAAATACAAATATTGCATTCAAATACATTGATACCAACCTCCAGACGGTGTCCATTATATGAAAAATTTGCGTTCCCCGGTTTTGTTGTGTGCGTTAATGAGTGATTCGTGAGTTCTAATTTGCCCAAATGTCATGGGCCGCTACCTGCAACTGACACGGTGACAATGACACTTTTCGAGTTCAGCTATGGACGTACAGGCAGAACTGGGGGCACGAGTGGCACAGAAGTCTGAGGCGTTGCAAATGGCTGTCCCTTGGCCGTGCCCAGAAATCTATGATTGTGGATTCGAATCCCGGTTTGCCCCGATTATGTTTCTAGGTTTGTCCGCGCCATACCCGTGCTCGTGGGTTTCACAAAAGTTGAAAACGTCACTTCAGGTTTTTTCCCCACGTAAATCTGACAAGCCGTGATATAACTGGAATGCTGTTTAAAGCGGCTCTAAACCTAACTCACTCACTCACTCACTCACAGGTTAAAGAACGTGGTGGAAGATAAAACGTCATCAGACATCGTTTAGATTGAAGTGTGGCACGTGACGACGAATCCCATATTTATGATTCCTGTTATCTAAGTTATGACTGATGTGTTATGTGTTTTTAATTATGACTTGACGCACAAGCCCTACTGACTTAGTAACTTTTTTTCTATCAATGCATGGATAATCATCCTTCCCGTGATTAACTAGCTATTTGGGAACTTTAGTACTTCCTTGTTCAGTCGGGGGCACGGGTGGCACAGTCGTCTAAGGCGTTGCAAATGGCTGTCCCTTGGCCGTGCCCAGAAACCTATGATTGTGGGTTCGAATCCCCGTTCGCCCCGATTATGTTTCTCGGTTTGTCAGCACCATACCCGTGCTCGTGGGTTTCACAGAAGTGGTAAACGTCTGAGACATGCATCACGTCGGGCTTTCCTCCCACATTAAGCTGACAAGCCGCGATATAACTGGAATACTGTTAAAAGCGGCGTTGAACCAAACTCACTCACTCCTGGTTCAGTCAAAGTGACAGAACTTTACTCGATTAAGACTAGTTGTTTTTGAGACATAATGACAATTACAATGACAATGACAAATTGTTTATTTTTGTCTCATCGGAGATACAGGTTGTAGGCATATACATTATTATAAAGGTACACTATAAAGTATCTCTGCCACCCACGATGTGGGTTATAAGAGACCATACATAATGCATAGTAAAACAAATTGAGTTAAAACATATAAAAAGCAATATAAATATATATGGTGTTATGAGTAGTGAGATTTTCTTCGAACAGACATTTTGTAACACATACTTACTGGTGTTGAAATAATTTTATAATCATTTAGAATATATACAAGCTCAATATTATTATTTAAGTTGCCATTGTGGGGTTAAATACTTGTGGAAGGTGGGTAACACGAATATCATCATAATGTGAGCAGTGGAGAAGAAAGTGAGTTTCATCTTCTACACATCCAGGGCAATATTTACAAAAACGTTGTTTAACTGGCATAATCGTCTATTTTGTAGCCTTAGTGACTCTCTTTAGGGATAAGCTCTCGGTGTTTATTTCTCCTTTGTTTACTTAGCCTAGTTTCTCCACTCATTAGAGTGTGGAGTTAATTGACGTAGGTGGTAATTGGTCGCAGCCGACATAATTGTCAGTCGGGTTCATATCTTGTCAAAGTGTTGTTTTAGCTACCTCCATTTTAATAGCCACAGGAAAACCACCATCCAGCCACAAGCTAGAACCATCGGGAGCAGTGTACCACATTCCGTGCAATTGTGGACAAGCTTACATAGGAGAAACATCTTGGCCCATCAAAACCAGAATTGGAGAACATCAAAGTTCAGTCTCCAAAGATGACTCTTAATCAGCTCTATCAGACCACATCCGCCACAACCAAAGCCACAGCATTCAGTGGGACAAAGTCAAAGCCCTCACCATCAACCTCAAAGACTTCAAAATCAGAAAACTACAAGAATCCATCAACATCAAGAGACTCCAACCATCAATCAACCATGACCAAGGCTGTTACATACCACCGGCGTACCATCAACTCATCAAAGGCCCCAATCAGTCATAATTCTTCTGTTGTTTATATTACTGGCTTCACCCTTTTGTTTATGTTACAGGTTTCACCGGCCAATATGTTTAACCATTCTTCATGAGGCTCCTACATTCCAGTGTAACTGCATCTTAAACTTACTCAACTGGAAAAACACTGCCTCCTAATTGTTATAAAGAAGTTGTACATCCATAAATCTTATCCTTACTCCAACTTTTTTCTAAATGCCTCTCAAAGAAGCTGTACTGCAGTTGTTTGTCTAACACTTGTCTGTATATTTGCGCTCATAGAATCAATTTGTGATCTGCATGAGCGCAGCGTGGATTTATTTGTAATTGTCAACTAGTACAATTAGAAGTTGTTTAATAAACCTGTGAACCCATTACCACGTTTTCTTTATCACTCTATTCTTATTTTATGACACCAGTATCCATCGTTTATGTTGTACGAGATCGACGACCTTCACTTTCGTCTTGTGACATGCAGTTGTTTGAAAATGTTTTGAGGCGAGAGCTAAAAACAAAACTACATTCCACAATGTGAACAACACTATACTAATGCAAGTCACAGACAGTACTGTAGAGACATTCAATCGAACATTCCACCTTCGCCCTTGAATTTCTAACCATGTGGGTTTGCAAAAAACACAAACTTAAAATATCTCCTCGCTAAAAATGGCCAGGGTTATTTATGCACGCGAGAAATGTCGTTCTTTCATTCGTGTTGATTGTGTCTGATTACAACCGGGGAAATCTCGCGACACGTCGGCCAGCGTTCTGGAGTATGCCTTGCTGCTGGTGGACAGGTATGCTTGAAAGCCAAGTTTGATTTTTAAGCCCAATTTACCATAGTTGATACATTTGGAGCAAGTCCGACTGAGCTGACGCTAACGATGATTGGATTTTTCTGCAATACGTTGATGGATGATGGGTGACCGGCTTAGGTCACTTATTGACACGACAATATCTATTCTATCAGAGGCTATTCAATCAGTCGACAGGTTTGCATGTTTTCCAGGATATTAACAGTCAATACAATTTACTAAAACTTACAGTGTTATAGTTGTACCCTGAAATGACCGACATCCCCATGGCAGGTTATATAGGCGAGCTGAGTGACGTTTAGTTTATTGGTCACTGTTGTATGTTGCTTGGTGTCCTTGACCACTTGGGGCACTTCTGGGGCACAGTCAGAACCCACTGGTTATTGCAGTTATTCAGTTTATTCATATATAACAGTAAAACCACAGGCACATAGTACAGAATACATGGCAATGTTCAAGCGGTTAAAAATGCTACAAGGATTTATTTCTTAATAACATGGCATGATATATAAAGAGAAATAGATTTCGTATAGCCGTTTTGCCCACGTGTGATATTAAAGAGATAAATTTGTATTTATTTGAATGTACATAGGATTTTTGTTCCATAAATTCTTCCTTAAATTATCATATTTACAACATACAAGTAAAAAGTGTAATTCATCTCCGACGAATTTAAAGAACATTGTCTACATAATCTTAAACATGTTGGTATTTCTTTATGCCTGCCAACTTCAACCATTAACCTGTGTGAGCTGCATCTAAAATGTGTTAATGATATTCTGCATTTTCTTATATTTACATCAGGTAATTACATTTCTGCGCACATTTGCATTTTAACATATCAGTGATATTCGCATTTGTTAGAAACATCTACAGTAGATCTCCATGTTTGAAAGTACATGTCAAAAAGCGTCTGCCATATTTTCGATATGAACATGGCATGATTCCCAAAGAAACACTGTCTGTCCCAGACGTAGCCACACCCACATTTATACGGTAGACATTTAACATTGTATGCCCATTTTTGATCTCCATTCTTTTGATACAATAGCATCATATTTTACTATTTCTTTGGTAATCTACTTTCTGGCATTTTTAGTAATTGTAACCAATATCTTATGATTTTTATGTAGTGATATATATACAAGGACATGCGACCACATTCACCATAAACCATTACGTTAGAAGTACTCTGTTTAACACCAAAACAAACTTTACATGCGTATAAATGTAAAGATTCAATTTCTTTAGTCTCTGAAAAAAACCATATTTCCAAACCATAGGAATGAATAGGAGCTATTTTGTGTCAACAATTTTGAAGAAAGATTTATAAGCCCAGTCGCTAAAATGTTCAAAACGTTTTTAAAATTCCCAATAACATCTTTTTAGTTTGGATTGCAGCATTACGCATATGTCGGTTCCATGATAATTTACTTGAAAATATTACACCAAGATATTTATATGAGGTTTCAGTTTGAAGTAATTGTCCCCGAAAATACCACTTTTCGTTTTTTGACAGCATATTTCCTTTGCTACATACAACAATTTTTGTCTTATCCAAATTAACATTAAGTTTCCATGTGAATTAAATAGATACCATAACTTGTCACTACAGACTGAATCGAATGCTTTAGAAAAGTTTACAAATATAGCGTACAATGTTCCACGTTTACGTTGAATATACCTATCTATAAGAGCCTGGAGGATAAACATATTATCAGTGGTAGAGTAACCTTGTCGAAAACCTTCTTGCTCTTCGTCAATCTCATCAAGTGTATCCGACCACAATACCCAGCGTTTATTAATAATGCTAATAAATACCTCACTGAATATACTGGTAAGTGTAATCCCCCTATAATTTTCAGCATCTGTCACTGAGCCTTTTTTTGTGAATTGGAACGATAGTTCCAAGTGTCCAAGTGACCTTTTGGAAAGTAAGAGGTATCCATTATTGTATTAAATGGTATTTCTAAATACGACAGGGTGTGATCAAGAGAGTATTTAAAGAATTCTGTTATAAGTATATCAATTCCAGGGCTTTTCAATTTTTCAGATTTTGAATAGCAGATTTAATTTCTTCTTTTGAGATTGGGGAATCTAATATTTCCGTTGCAAAATTGGTTTCATCATTATCAAAAGAGTTCAACTGAAGGTTATTTGTGGAATCATCACCGCTAAAAAGATTTTTGAAGTAATTAAACCCACTACTTGTATCATGTGACGTGAAATAGGGTTTTAACGTCGCGTTCAAGATTATTGCAGTAAAAAGAAACGTGCATGTACGTGTATGGCTGCTTGTAACAGCCCGCACTATTACCGGTTTATAGTGCTAGCCCACTGAGATACAACCCTGCTGTTTAACACAGTATACTGACTCCGAGCCAACCAGTTCTTGTAATGCCAAGCGCCAGGCAGGGTGATAAAAAGTACCATTTAATCAACGTCTTGGGGTATGACACAGCCTGGGATCAAACCAACGTCCTCCTGCTCTCCGGACAGACGCTCTATCCATAAGACCACGGAGACAGTCTACTTGTGACATGGGGTGGCATGAGCATCAGTTTGATACAATGCGTGGCCTGATGGATTGTTCGGCATCATATAACACTGAGGTGTGGACAGTTGCTCATAATACCAGCTGTTAGTTTATCTGTCCCAGATTCGATCTTTTACCTACCAGCGTCATATAGCTGGAATATTGGTGACGCGCGTGAAACGCTATTCCCTCAATCATATGATAAGCAATATCGCGTTTCGTAGTTTCTCAAGGAAGCTAAATTTACCTTTGGGACTGGTTTTAAGCGATTGGGGTTTTGTATACCATCCAAATAGTATCAGCCTAGTTAGTTGCCATGGTGTTCACGCGATCCCTATTTTAGAGTTTGTTTATTGTTGTACAAAGACCACGTAGCTTACATTGACTGTATGATGGTCTTTAGGCCACGAGCTCATATCACAAACATGATGAAAATGTGATTAAGTGTTCATTGTGAATTACGTAGTATAGCTTTGCTGACATGGACAGATCTATCATTAAATGCACCAGGATCCGCTGGTCGTGGTTGTGAATCCCAGCGTCGTTGTGAGTGTGGTCCCCCTAGTTTCTCACCTGCACAAGCAGATTTCACCAGGCGTGAGCGTCTACGGGCTGCGACATCACGACCTTTCTCCAACATCAAGATCGCACGCAGTCATACAACTGAACTAATGTGTAAAGTGACGTGATGCACTAAACACGACAACACGCAGGAACCAGGGTCAGCATTACATTAAGGAGATATTTCACAAGGAGCGCCTTGGCCAGATAAAGACAGCATTGCACTCAAATAGAATACTTTTGGCACATGTATAAGAACTTCATGAAACCGAACAGAAGTGGCTCTCGCGGTTGTCTCCTGACGGTCAACGTCACTTCGTTAAGTCCGTAGACGGTCATCACGTGTACATGAAGCTTAAGTTAACTATTCAAGGCCTCACAGTTTCAGTTTATTACCTAAATGCGTCTTATACACTATACGACTTAAAGGAAGTAAATACAAAACCCGGCTATAAGTATCTGTCACGACAGCAATATATTTTAACTCTCTTTGATTAGTATAGAACAGGTTTCATACTGAAAGTATTTATTGCTTATTCAGTGCGTTACATTTGCAATTAGTAATATTAATTTGTTGTATTATAGGCATTGCATATTACATTTCTTAAAAGCGTCATATGTGCAATTAATTAGATGAGTATGTCGTACTGCGCTTTCTCCATGCTTTGCCCAGATACGTTTGTTTGTGCATGGTCCGTAATATAGAAGAATCACGTTAACATGAAATAATGTAAAACGGAAGATTTTATAACTTTGAAAGCGCATGACAAACCGTGGATTAAAACCCTGAATACCAAAACCTTTCAAAACATGGAATTTTATTTGAAAAATATGAACAAATGCGCTAAGTCTCAATTACGTTCTCTGTAGGAAATTGGCACGGAATTAGACAATCTCCAGGTTGAACCTAACCATATCGTTATCGAAAAGTGAAGATAGTTGGCTTGTCACTATGATCTAAAGTTTGCATGCCGAAGCACGTTGCCTCCACGGCATACCATTTACGCTGCTGGTTTCGTAGTAAAACCATTCCCCTTGATATGCTATCTCATCTAGCGGATCGAAATAAATAGAATCTGTCTAGATTACGGGCTTCAT